TGAAAAGCGTGATGATCCGAGCCTGCTGCGCCCATCGATGTTTGATCCTTCCCATTCGCACCGCCTCCTATCGATGCTGCACCAGATTGCAAATTTCGAAGCGCATCAGCAGCCGATGACGATGATGACGTCGACGTCTTCGTCTTTGTCCCTCTTCTTCGTCTCTTCTTTTGTTGCTGATGCTTCGTGGAAGATGCACCGTCTTCCGATGCCGATTCTTCGTCGGAGCTGAAAGCTGCGGCGCTAAATATGCGAGCAAAGAAGATCAGGTGGGTGGGTTTCTTGCCAACGAGACAAACGGAAGGGGGCCACACAAGCAAAACAGGGTCGTATTAGCCCCCCGAAAAGCGTCTAAAGAGCTGCCCTCTGTGCTGCAAAAGCACGCTCGCTGCAGCTTGGCTCACCTGTGCCACTTGACTTTCGATTTCTTGTGCCAGGATACGATAGAGCGGAGTGGCTATCTGAGCAGGCAGGTTCACCATCCTCTCGTGCAGGACCAAATACGGTCGATGGGCAGTGTTGCTGGACGACAGTACGTCGGAGATGGCTTGCGAGGCCGTAGAGCTTGAACCGACGGACTTGGAGGCGAGTCTTGCAGAGAAGAAGTTGTGCAGCGTTTGAGAAGCTGAGGAGCACGTGTCCTGGCGGGGTGCGTGCCAAAGGTGTGAATGGGCAAAGCGAGGTCAAGGTGTGAGAGAATGGCGGGGGATCTTCTGTCTGCGTCTGCGTCTGCGTCGTGCCCATGCAGTGTAGCATTATGATCCGACTGGCAAACTCACCTTTAGATTGACCAAGCTCACAAAGGCATAAGGATCGCTGTCATCTTCTTGATCCACCTTCACCACCGTTCCCACTCCACTGGACGCAGCCAAGCCAATCACATGATCCGCCACTTTTCCAAGATCCAATTGCTCATCACGCGTCGAGTAGGTGTAGAATAGTTGCTGCAATTGACGCTTGATAGAGTGGAAATCGATGTCGGTGGGGGATGTAAAGTCGAAAGAGACGTTGATAAAGTCGATGTCGCTAGAGGGAGAGGAAGAGGAAGATGAATCGCTGGATGAGCGAGCTCGACGTTTGCTCGAAGCTCCCACCACTGCTGCTGCTGCTGCTGCTGCTGACATGGTGCGAGAAGGGTAGTGGTCGGGCTGCCTTTGTGATAAGAATGGTGTGCATATATGTGTGAGTCGTGAGTCGTGAGTCGTGAGTCTGCTGCGCTCACTCAATCCACAACGACATTGTGATTCGCATTTGCACTCGCCCCGCCCACCATTCGTGTTTCGACGCGAGGATCAGCCTGCACGCACGCGAGAAGAATCAAAATGCAATTCAAAATTTCCCAAAAGACGTGAAATCGCGGGGGGGGCGATGCCACCGGTCACGTGTTTCAAGATTGGCATCGCCTGCTGCTGAGATGCCAGAAAGATGGGGCTTGAATGGAAAGGTTTGTGGAGAAAGAAAGGCAAGGCGGGTCAAAAGGTTGAGGAAGATGAAAGCTGCGTGTCAATTGAACAAAGTCACGATCAAAGTACGATGCAATGACTGAATCACGACTCACCTCACCCACTCATCAGCTCTCGTCATCGGTCGTGCGATTCATCGCTGTCAAGCCAAAGGTCCAGCTTGGCTCAAGCAGAATCTGGATCCTCATGTGGAGGAAGCGCTGCTCTTCGCCAAAGCTTTGCATCTCCTCTTCATCCCACCTCATCTCACCCGTGCAGTCCCCACCCCACCGAGGGGCATTCGTTGCCCCAGCACAAGGCACCAAACATGGAGCGTACAGCGTTGGATGCTGCTCGAGATGCTTGTCGCAGGACAGGATGGGAGCGACGAGGACAGAGGCTGTTATTGGCGTGTCCGCGTCAATCGGCTTGTTTCCGTAGCGCCACCATCACCTCGCGCTCCTCTTCATCGTCATCTCGCACCGCATCACCGTCTGCATCATCGTCCATCTCTGGCACAAGCACGAGCACAGATGCAAATGCAGACGCCAGCTCATCATCTCTGCACACCTCTGCCCCCATTCCTCTTTCATCGCCGCACAAGTTCTTCTTGGGCTTGGGATCAGCCGTAGCATCTCTGCTAGATCCTTCGCGCGGCGATCAGATAGCCCTGCTCTCCGAACTCTCTTCCGAGCCTTTTCATCTTTCTCGCATGAGGGATCAGATGCTGGCGAGCGAAGAAGGTAGACGGATCTTGTTGGACAGACCTCAGATCAATACAAAGACGGTGGATATGGCATACCTGAGAAGCTTACCGGAGGGAACGTTTGGGAACGAGTATACCAGATGGCTGGATTGGTGTGGCGTTGGACCGGATACGAGAGCAGAGGTGAGTCATGGCGGCGAGGTTTTGAAGCGTTTGCGCAACAAGCATGCCTGTTCGAGCGCATGACCAACCCCCTACCGCCCGCACAGGTGCTTCACGTAGACGATCCAACTTTGCGCTACATTATGGCTCGCAATCGACAATCGCACGATATGCACCACCTGCTATGCCTCATGCCCGTCTCCCACTTGGGAGAGACGGTGGTGAAGATGTTCGAAGCGAGTCATTTTGGTCTGCCCGTATCCTACTTGTCCGCCCTTGCCGGTCCCCTACGTCTCTCGGCGGAGGAAAGGGCAAAACTTTTGGGCTTTGGGCTCGCGCACGGGTCTGCGCTCCAGTCTGAATCTGGAAGCGCACAAGGGAATGCTACATCGAGCGGTCCGGCAAGAGGTCTAGCAGCATGGGCTTGGAAACAGGGACAGATCACTACTCCTCTGATCAATGTGTACTGGGAAAAGAGATGGGAGCAGGACTTTGGGGAATTGAGGAGGGAATTGGGCTTCGATCAAGACCCGCCTTTTAGAGTGGCGTACGATGCGAACAGGAAGAGGAGGGACGATCTGAGTAGAGGTAGATGGCCCAGCAAGGTCATCCAGGCTCAGAAAGGCGCTGCGTAGTCTGAACATTACGGCTCAAAGTTTGTACTTTCTTGTGCTGCACCGTTGCATGCTCACCACAATCCATCGCGCAGTCATCACAATCATCGCAGCGTCTGACGGGCCATTCCGTGCATGAGCAATAAACTTCATCATGACTTGGTCTGCTGGTAGCAAAGAAGGTGTCGAAAAAATTTGCGCTCCCTCCAACGGACTCGTTGTAGCTTCGCACGTAGGATTTGATGGGTCAAGAAGCACGCTTAGTGCGTGTGTCGGAACGGGCAACTCTGGACAGGCATGAATGCCACTGCCACTGGGTACCGATTTGGCTGGTGCTATGAGACTTGCCACACTCCCAACACCCGAACGCCTTGCAGATCGTGCGAAGCTTTCAAGCGCCTTTGCAAGTCGTCGTCGAGTCGCGCGGACGAGACGGCACTCTCGACTTCTACGAAGTAGACGCTGGGCCAAGCGCTGCCTTGTTTCGCTTGCGCAGTCTCGCAACTAGACGCATCATCCCTCTCCTCTTCCGTGCTACCCCGCAAGGCCCGAGTCTCGTCGCCCAGAGGAAAGGCTTTGCGATCCACCTTGCGAATACGAACAGGCGCTTGGTCTGGTCGAGAGTTGGCAGTTGCGCACAAAGCGCCGAGAAGAGATGTCAGATTGGTGGAATGACTGTCGGTGCGTAGGAGCAGCATGGCTCGAGAGCCCTCAAGTGGCTGAGGATGCGCACTGCGATAGGCCCTCGCCACTTGCTCATTGGGCGCCACGAGCAAGAACCTCGTTTCGTTGTCTGCGTGCGAAGCCGGTGCGAGCGATATCACGCATCAGCAAGTGTCTCCATACACCCTTGACCACAGCGGGTCATGACTCGTGAAGAAGAGGCCATCTCTCTCTCGGAAACCGGCAGAAGAGACACTCACCATCCCTATCTTGGATGTTGCGCTGCAATACAACCAAATCGAGTTCCTCGGCTGCCTGCTCTGTTCCGATAGCCACCACGACCTCGTCTTTATCGCTTTCAATGGGCCTCGTCGCATGACCTCCGTTTTGCAGGTCACTTGCCGCCCCGACATTAGCGTGTCCCGACCGCCTGCGAGTATCCTCACCATTCCCCGCAGCGTGCTGTGCAGAGAGAGGTATCGAAGAAGACGGGCGACATGCGCTCGTGCTCCAAGTGTTCTGAGAGGACGTGGTCGAGGCTGCGAGACGCGCACCGAGCGCTGTAGACGCGACGCTGACTCGCTCAGCCTTTGGACAATTACGAGTCAGGAAGTCGGAGCATTGACCTAAAGCCTTGAAAAGCATTAGCGGTGACGAAGCATTCGACAAAGTACAAGGCAGTCAGTGCAAAAGGCCTGCTGAGACACTGGCAAAGCGCAGAGTAGAATAGTAGATGAGATGCCTGATCAGATGATTTACTCACTTGCTCGTGACTCATCACCTTGGTCACCCTGGACAAGTCCAGCTCTTCCAAATCATGAAGCGCCTGCAGCCCATCTTTCCTCCTTAGCCTATCTCGCGCACGTCGACTGCCCAGCAAGGCATGCCTCACAGCTCTCGTAGCTTCCGCCACCACGACCGGCGACAGCTCACTCGGCGAGGCCAGCTGCCCATTTGATCCCAGACTGACATTCGCTCCGCCATGCCTTGGACCTATAAGAGTACTTTGAGTATCGAGCACCAGTCCATAAGTGCTATTCTCATACGGCATCAGTGCGAGCGGCACGACCGACCGTTGATGCCTGTATTCATCTTCGCACCAAGCTGAAGCGGCATCCTCCAAAGATTGCCGGATCGTACTGCTCGATCTTGCAGAATCGCCGTCTTGTATGAAGTGCAGAGCAATGGAATGAGTGTAAGTGCCCGGCGGTCCTAAGTAGTACACTTGAAGAGGCATGGCATCGCGTGGCACTGCGCTCGTGACCGCGTCGCTGTGCAAGCACAAAGACTCTTCGCCTTTCTTGGGCCCGACACTATTCTTGACCGATCCGGTCGAGTCTTTTAGAAGCCGAGCGTTTGTTAATGCTGGCGAGCGCAGAGAATGTGGTCGATCGACGACGAGCGCGAGGTGATCGGCAGCGTCACGTAGGTGGGAAGCGTAGTGTGCCGGCAAGAAAAACATGACCGAAGCTCGCGCGGTGGAGGCGTGCACGAACGAGTGGTATGTATGCGCCGCAACCCGCACGAGAGGACCATAGGTGCCGTCTGTGCACCTCGCTACTTTCGACTACCCCACCGCGCACCCCCTTCAGTCCAGACTTGACTCTTCTCTCGCGCTCCTGACATGGGCTGGCTTGACCCGCAATCGAGACGCCCTTCACACTCGCACGCAAATCGAGAGCAGAGCATTCCAGACTCGGTCGAGTGAGCAGCTCCGCTAAAGTCCCTGCACACAATGTCGTCCGTGGTGGACAGTCTAGACGCTCCGTCGTCCTGTGAGTAGCGAACATACCACGCTTCATCCAAGACAAGTCCGCATCCTGCCCATCAATCCCTAGCTGACGAAGCGCATACAATTCAATGTATTCAGATCGCGACTCTCGCAACACATCGTCTCGAGCAGCTACGTACATGGCCCTGTCCAAGACCGCGACGCTATACGTCGGCAACCTCTCCTTCTACACGACCGAAGAACAGATGCACGAACTGTTTGGCAGGGTTTGCAATGCCTCTTCCGGGGGCGGCATTCGAAGGATCATCATGGGTCTAGATCGAATAAACAAGACACCATGCGGATTCGCCTTTGTCGAGTGGGTAACTTTTCCCGTCACTCGAGAGAGACGCGCCGTTTTCACGCTCACCTAGGTGTATTCCTTTCACACGCATGCTCCTCCTCTGCGATGCATAGGTACTACACCCACGCGGAAGCCTTGGCATGTATGCGGCAGATTTCGGGTACGAAGCTGGACGAGCGAGTGATCCGTTGCGATTTGGATCCTGGATACACGGATGGTCGTCAGTACGGACGCGGACGATCAGGTGGACAAGTGCGCGACGAGTATAGGCAAGAGTACGATGCGGGCAGAGGGGGTTGGGGTCATTTGAGGTTGAAGGAGGAGGAAGATAGGATCGCAAAGGAGGAGGAGAGGAGAAAGGAACACGACGAGGTTTACAAGGAACAAGAGGAACAAGTCGGTGGGAGAGTCATCCCCGCCGGCGCGGAGGAGGTGTACGAGGAGCTGGAAGGTAGACAGCGAGCTGGAAATGATGCGACTGGTTCGGATGCGCCAGGCGAACACGACACGAAGCGCAAGAGGGCCGACGAACAAAGTGCGGACGATGACAGTGGCGACGAGTCCTTTGCACGGGTGAGTGACTATTCACCGAAATACAACTCGCGCCCCGTGTGAAGCTGCGCTGACGAGGCCATCTTTGCGTTCATGGCTGTCCCGACAGAAGCGTCGATTGGAATCGCCGGATCTCTGAAAGCATTTGCGCTGGCTATGATGTGCAACGCCGACCACTGCCTGCCATTTCGAAATGCATTTCATTCCTTGTCTATGTACAGAGCGCAAACCTTACGAGACGGACTTGATGCGGTTGCGGGTAGGCGCCACTTCATGCCGTGATTCGCGGACCCGCATGGTCGATTCTAGACCTACTGCGTGTACTCTCCGCCCCTTCTTCCTTTAGAGACCTTGGCTGGTTCAGCGAGGATATCTCTAGCTGTAGACTTTGGGCCCTTCCTGTTGCCCTCATAGTGCGCAGAGATGGCTGCCCTGCCGTGTCGTCCGGAAGAGTAGCCAGGTCCATCGTAGTACATGGTCTCTTCAGGTCTGTTGAGGGTTGGCCAGGCCACGTACTCCAGGCCTCGCTCGGTGATGAAGTAGAACGACGTGAACGCTACAATGACTGCGACAGCAGTGATCTTGTTGCGCGTGGCGTCTGTCGCGTGGTGGGGCCTCGGTCCAGGTCAGCTCGTGGCATGCGGGAGCCGCCAAGGAGCGCCGCATTCGACTCACCATCGTCTGAGCGAGGTGCCAAGAAGGCTGCGACCAAAACCGCCACCGAGAGCAGCCAAATGTACGGCATCTGAGGCGCAACGCATGGCTGAAAATGTTAGCAAACATACCGATCAAACGCCCAATCACATCTACACACCAAGCGTACGAGAATGGCACGCTTGTCTCCCGTGGCGCCTTTTCTCGGCGTCCAAGCTCCAGTGAACAAGTCGTAGGCGTCTTGCCGACTACCATCGAAGAAGTTGTTGCGGACGTATCGAGTCAGAGAGTTGACTCCATCCTGCAGCGCCCCTTCCCACGATCGCTTGCCAGTGCTGTACGCCACGTAGACGGGCAAGGTCCAATGCAACGCGCAATCAGTCGCCTATCCTGCACATTGGACCACACCTCCTTCGCACTCACCGAGTAAAGTCGGTCTTGAGCGCGCCCGTCCCCGAGTAAGCCTTGCTGACCACATCTGCATGATCAGCCCAGACATTTCTAAAGATGTGCCAAAACTCCTTTTGGTCCTCAAACTTTTCTCCCGAGGCCAAGACGCCGACTTCGCGCAGTTGCTGGTTCAACACCCATCGACCAAGGGTGCTCTGAACAACGTTGGTGCGGTCCAGGCAATCCATGCAGTTCGTGCGAACCACTGCAGACTGTTTGCGCGTGGTGCGGCCTCCGTCTGATTGGAAGTAGCTGATAGGCGAACGTTGAATGCCGCAATCAGAATTTGCAAGCTCGAAGGGACTCGCACCCATCGTGTACGACTCACTCTTCCGCTCGAAGTCCCTTGCCTTGGAGCCGTTCGATCAACCCAAATACCTTTTCAAACTTCATACCCTTGCACTCATGGTGGAAGTCGTAGTACGTGTAGTGGACTCGAGGGTTGCCTAGCTCCTCGACAGCCTTCTCGTAAGCGTCTTTGACTGGTTTCTCATAACCCTTTTGGTTGACCAGGTTGACCAAATAGTTTTCCCCATAGGTTGCCACTTGCTTTTGGAAATGCAAAGCGGTAGCCTCGGCCTATGCGAAGGGAGTGCAGTCCCATCGCCTTAGCCCCGTAGCTTACGCAAAGCGGACTCCACAGCCCACTCACTGTTTCGTGCTTGTCCATAATCAAAAGATCAGGCTTGTATCGCAGATTGTTGACCTCTGCCCAAAATACTGGCACCGAGCCTCTTGTCTGCACGTACGAGCTTCGAAGCTCTTTGCCACCCTTGTTGAGGATGATGAACTGCTCCGATTCGTTAAAGTTGGAGACTTCGCCCAAGGCGTCTATGCCTCGAGAGAAGTATCTCGTCCCGGCCCGGTGTCTGGAGCGCCTTGCGATCAGACCATAGGTGAGATCATTGCCCTTGATGTTGATCTGCTTCAGCTCCAAGAAGCCAAAGATGATGGGGAGAATGAACTTGGACAGATCCGTCTTGCCCGACGACGTGGTCTCGATGAATCGCGTGCTGATGTACCGATTCCAGAAGAAGCGCTCGTCCGCCTGTGCGGGCAGATGAGAATGCAAGTGGTCAGCCCAGGCGGTTAGCCCCTCTGAACGGTTGCTAGCTTATCAACCCACCCTCTGCCAGAGAGCTCCGCGCTGACTCTCTGATCGCTGAAAGGAGCTAGTCAGATCGTAAGTGTAGCTAAAGTAGAATGGAGCAGAGTAGAGATGAGTCTTGAGCAATTCCAGCAGCGTGCGCTCTACAGGGTGCTCCATGACGCTGGGTTTCGAATCCCTGGGTACGGGGCAGATGCGAAAGTCGGTGGCTTGGTAGAGAGCATGACCGCTCAAGTTGCCGACTTGTTTGCGAGCCGTCACCAGCACGAGATATGGAGCTGTGTGCAGCGTAATCTGACCAAGGATGCCTGCACGCGAGATTGCGAATCGCGGTCAGTAGCAGCTTTGAAGACTTGCTGCGCTACGATGCTCACCGTACACCTTAAGCTCTTTCTCGCGCAGCGTCAGCGTGGGCATCGAGTCTGTGCAAAGGCCATGCATTGGCCGAGGTCGCGCGGGATGGCAACGAGAAGGAGGCTTTCAGTCACCGTCGAGTCTGCCGCCACCAGCAAACGTACCAAGCAAAGTAATGCTGCCCTCTTCATCCCTCTCGATCTTGAGGACCTGCTTCTTCTCCCCTGCATCCTTTGGCGCGATGGGATCGAAGAGATAGCTTTCTGGGGCGATGTATAGGGTGTAGCCCTGCCAGGCTGGAATTTCAGCGGCCATCGTGTGCTAGCTAGCTTGTGAAGGAGTCCAATGAACGGTGAGGCAAGCTTGCTTGATGATCTTGACAATCGTACAGTGGAAGAGGGAAGGGAGCGCAGCTACGATTCGCTAACAGTCGACCGAATGCTTGGCTCGAAGAGCTGCGCCTGATGTCGGAGGAGGGATCAGCACGTTTGCGGGGAAGATGCTTGGGCCGCCGATGTCGCGCGTCGATACGGTCCACACACACATCATTCACATTCTGCACCACGCAGCATGGATGCCATGCCATGCCGGCTCGCACGGCCGCGTGCTTGCTCGATCGTCCCTCTCGCCCTCCCAGCTAGGCGGCGCAGTAGCGCGCAGGCGCACCGATCATGGGCTGCACGCCAAATATGCTGAAAGCTCCATAGCAGCAGCTCGCTCGCGGCTGCATGACTCGCGATCGCGTCGCGAAGGTTTGCATCACGACGAGAGCTATGTATGTAGAGCTAGCTAGCTGCCTTTAAGCCGTGGGCCACAGAGCCTTGAATAGCTGGCGTGGCGCATGCACCGGCATTAACATAACAATTCTAATCGTTGATTTGATTCATCAGTTGTTGATGTTTGTCATATCAAATTACCACGCAGCATCCTCGCGCGTGCTTGCGTTTTGGAAGGGGTTGCTTTTGCAGTGCTTCACGTGATTCGTGACGTGCGTCCACATGCAGCACCCAAGCCACTTTGATTTGAATCAGAATTAGCCCCGCCTGAAGGTGTCTTGTTTGATGGTCAGTGATTTGTGACTCAGATTGGCTCCCGCAACTATCACAAATTGACATCCATAATTGAGCCCCCACCATAATCATCTGTACTGCGAAGAGCGATCACGCAAGGGATGAGCTGGGGCACAGACATTCAACGTTGAGAACTGTGGATAGCCTAGCCAGAACCAGAAAAGTGCTTTGGCTAGCTCTACAAGAAGGCCCTCGCACAACTCGTCACGATGCAGTTTGCTCGAGTCGCAAAGGCAGAACTTTTGTCACGAGAATCTGTGCCATTCTTTCATGGCATCTGAGTGCGCATACATGCAGTGATTCGATCACTTGCATAGCGAGTCGCTTCGTGTGACGGTGAGCAGATCAGTCCTTGAGTCTCTGCCGCGATGGTCGCTGATTTGTCTTTGGTGACTATCTTGCCTTCTGCTGCGTCCAACGCAGAACGTAAGTTTGCTGTTGAAGGAGAAGGGGGGAAGTACGACTCCAAGGCAACACTGTTCGGCCCCAGAGCGACGCCCACCGTGCCTCAGATACGCCCATGGATTCTTCGCCAGACTCCGTTGATGAACTCGTGTGGCACACCGTTTCTGTCACCTACGGCGGTCAAACCGCTTGCTGACGCCCGTGTCATCTGCAAGGTAGCGCCCAGAGAGCAAGCGAGTGCAACGCAGTCAGCTCGGTGCCTGCATCTAGCGCGATCACACCGCCGAGATCTCCTCTCACCACGCTTGATAACGATGGCAAATTTTCGGGATGTGCACCCCATCTCTGCTGTCCGTCCGTCCGGATGAACGTAGCTAGTTCGGTGTCGTACTCGTGAAACGTACGGCCTTGATGATTGATCCAACGGATCCTTGGTGGTGCGCTGGTCAGCTGACGATGCGCGGCGAGGGTCAAGACCGTCAGCCGTATCCCGAAGTACAGGTGCTACTTCAAGATGACTCACCAGTTGCCCAACCGTGCTCTGCGGCAGAAGCACGGATGTGACCTTAGGCGCTGCAGCAACCGTGCTGCACATGCACATGACGACCACCGAGGCCAAGCAGAAGGAGACCTTCATGTCGAATGTATTTATCAGGAGAACTGCACTGTAGTGCGACGTTCGCGGGCGATGGAAACTAACGACTTGGAGGAAGGACTAGTTCGCGCCGAGGTGCTGTAGCGTGCAAGTCTTGCTGATGGGACTCAAGACCGTGCCGTTCTCGTTCCGATACAAGAGCTTTTGTAAGCTCTGCAAGAGGGTCTGACCTCGCAATGCTTCTCGCCATGCACCCATCCAAAAATTTGCCTGGCTCCCAGATCCGACCGTCCTTGGTGGCAAGGAGCCACTCGAACGAGGGGACTGTCAGGTCTTGTGAGAAGGGTGGCAATGACCCCACACGACAGCACGTTGACTTCGCGACAAAAGACTTCACGATACGACACGCGTCAACAAAGAACTTCATACTACGACACGCGGTGTCACACTGCACAGGACAGACAGGCTGGGGCGGAGATCACGAGAGCGCTCGAGTGGCGTCCAAACCTCTTCAGGTCATAAGCCGTCGGACTGATCTTGCACCCAACCATCGCGTCCGTCCAAGTAGCTGTCGTCGGATGACGGGATTGGTCAAGCAACCCCACACCTAAACTCGGGTCGCAGCGCTTTCAGAAGCTCTGGACTGTGTGGCGTTAGAATCGCTCGACGAAATACACTCCGGCTTCACAACGTTCTCGGGTCCAGGCAAGTGCCGTCGTGTTGGCGCCCTCTAGGTACACAGAGCTTCGCCTCGGCAGATCTTTGTGTCGGACACAGGCTGCGACAGTGGTAAGTTGCCTAGCATACAGGAGCAGACTTCGAAGCGAAGTCAAGACTTTTGCCAATCTTTGGAGCTCAAGGGAGGCGTCGCAGTGACGGAACCGCCTTCCACATTCCATTTTTCCACTCAACTAATTGATTAGAAGAGTTTTTA